TGGTGTTAGCCCGCCTTGGAGCCCACCTATGTACCCAGGCAGGATTCTAGGCCTGAGGAGGTACAATGGTGAACAAGATAAGCTCAATGAGCTGAGAGATGAACCAGCAAATCATAGAACTGACATTTTATCTTTTTTAACTTCTTGTGAATCAGGCTCATGGTGCAGTGAGCAAATAAATTTTCCACTCAACAGTTTATACCCATTTTGTTTCATGATATTGATTGCAATCCCCACAGAATAACATCATATATCCTACTTCTTTCCATTTTCAATTCCTCTTTCTTTCCTACCCTAACCCTTCTGAATTTTATCCTTAGGGTAAATGCTGCCTTTTATCTCAAATGATTGATGAGTAAGGAATGCATAGTTTACTGGTGTTTTGGTTCCCTTTATTGACCTGACTATTGTTTGGGTGCATTCAGTTCTAGACCTACAGGGTGGTTAAAGGCCATAGAGTCTCTGGGGTTCCTGCTGCCAGTAAGCCTGGTTTCTTGTGATTCAGAGTAAAGCTCCACATTTTTCTCTTCCGCTCTAGCCTTCTCAGAGCAGTTGGCGGTAGCCTGGCACCATTGAGTTTTTCTGGCCTCAGGGTTGTGGAGACTGCTGTTTGCATGGACTATGAGTCCATTGGGATAATTATTTCCTTGCTATCTCTTGATTTTCACCAAACTTCTTTCCTCTGGGCACAGAAAAACCAATATTCATAACTTTAATGGTTGCTTTTAAATATCCCAGTGGCTACTCACCAAAATAGAATGCAGCATCTTTGTGAGCCATGTTATGCTAATTGACCTTGCTGTCTCCTGAGACTATGGTCCTGACCCCTCATAGTAACTTAGGCCCCCAAGGTGTTAGGTTGTGTCTGAGACATTTTCCTAACTGTGCTCCCTGCATGCTCCGCCACCAAGGTAAGTATACACATATGCAAATAGCCTCTGTCAAATCTGTATATATTGGTGGGTGTACGCCTGCTCTCCCACCCACCCCTCTTCAGCCCGCATGTCTATCCCACTATCTACTTGTAGGTCACCATTATTGCAGGAGTATGCATATAGCAATATTTGCTTCTGTTGTCATGAACTCTTTGCAAGCCTCCAGTGTCTTGGCTTGCTCCCTCATATTGTGTTGCCTGCCCTTCCCTCATGGTAGCACTTGTCTGGGGTGTTGAGGAGCCTGGGTGGCAGAGTGGGTTGCATGTTAGGCTGCTCACAGCAAAGTCCGTAATTGGAAGCTGCCAGCCACGCCGCAGGAGAAAGAGGAGGCTGTCTGCCTCCTGTAAAGATCACCATCTCAGAAACCCTTCCTTCTACCACGTCCTATCAGGACACTGTGAGTTGAGTTGGATGGCAGTGAGTTTTGTGGGGCATTTCATTGGTCCATACCCTAGTTTGTGAATCCATTCTCCCATTGGTGGGCTTTCAGGTAGTTTCGCTCTTTGCTGTTGTGAATAGTGCCGCAGTGAACATGGGCATGCATACATCTGTTCATGTTTTGGCTTTTATTTCTCTAGGATATATACCAAGGAAAGGAATTACTGGATTACACACTTTTTCTATTTCCAACTTTTTAAGGAAGCGTTATATCATTTCCACTGTGGTCGAACCATTTTACAGTCTTACCGACTGTGTCAGAAGGAGAACCAGCATTTTAGTGGGGGAAACTTTTTTTAATTGAAAAATAAAAGAAGAACATATTAACCAAGGGTTCTCTAGGTGTAATGATCACATTAGCAGCATCAGGTGAAACCCAGTACACTGCTTCAAGCCTTTCAGGTAATTCTGGTGCCTGCTAAAATTTGAGAAGCATTAGTACAGGTGCATGCAGATAAAGGGAGGAAGAGGGAGCCTGGAGTTAGAGGAAACCAATGCATCAGCGTACAGGAGGAGACGTGTCCTAGAGGGAGGCTCCATCTAGGGGGGATAGCGAGCCTGGCAAATAGTACCTACCACACAACCAACCTCCTAGAATGTCAGAGTGCTGTGGAAGCTGCCTGCCAGGCATTAGGGATCTTTATGGCTGGGTGAAGTGGAGGGAGGTTTAGAGAAGGACGAGGTGGTTAAAGGAGCTGAGCAAGAAAAGGCATTCAAGACAGAGATAAAAAGCACATTCAGAGACACCCAAACTTGCAAGTTCTTTGCATGTCTGGCAAAAAGCATACAGTTTGAGTGTCTGGAGCACTGGATGCAGATACTGAAGGAGTTCAAATTTGGCAAATACTGAATTATCACATATAAGTGATTTATAGGCAATTGGTTTCTTGTTTTCTTAAATGAAACTCCAGATCCCTGATAGGTTGATAGCTTCCAACTCCTAGTATGGAGCTTTAAGAAGTTGGTGGGAAAATGGAATTAAAAGACAGTGGAAATTTTTCTTGAACTTTTTGAAGCCCCCCACATTCTTCCCTTGTGTTCTTTGTCTCTAACACAGCAGCCTGTAGCTCCTCGAAGAAGCTAACTATGGGTCTTCCTCAGGCCCTTTGCACAGGCTTCTCCCCTTGCCTGGGACCATTTTCCCCCCACTTACCCACACTGCTTGCCTCTTGGCCTCCTTCAGGTCTTTGCTGAAAAGCACCTTCTCAGTGAGGCCATCTCTGATCTCTTTCTGTTTAAAACTAGCTCCTGACATCGATGGCTTTTCTACTTTATTTTCTCCCCAGTGTTTTTTATTAAGCTTTGAATTAAGAAAGACAAAAGCAAATCACTCTGGTGTCCAAAGGATTCATAACCACAGGGTCATTATGTAGGATGTAAGCAAAGGACATTGTCACAAAATCATGATCGGTGACAGCTCAGTTCGTCACAGTCCGAGACGGCGGGACTACAGAAGCAGGAAGGGGCCGGGACTGCGACACATGCACGCTTGCAGTTTAGAAAAGTTTACAAGCTTGGTCAAGGGCCCTCTGGCCACCTTGAAGGGCAGGAGATGACTCATGACCATGAATCCCAGTTTGCATCAGGGACACACGCCAGGGAGGTTGCTGAGGGGGAGACTGCCTCTCCCTGGGCTGGTCAGGAGAGCTGCAGCAAACAACTTGGCCTGAGGACAAAGTGTTTTACATTGCTGGTCAGTTCTTCAGAACTTGAGATGGGGTTAGGGCTCCCTCTGTAAATCATCAAAACTCACTGCCATTGAGTCAGTGCTGAACCCCTGTGGATTTCCGAGACTTACTGTTTACAGGAGTAGAAAGCCCAGTCTTTCTCTCACATGTGATGGTTTCGAACTGCTGACCGTGCGAATCACAGCCTAATGTGTAGCCACTACCCCACCAGAGCTCCATATGTAAACTATAACCTTCTGCAAACGTGTTGCTCAGAATGTAAGCACTAATACACTAGCACTTAACCGCATACCATGTTCTGATACTTTACATATGTATCACTACTAAGTTTATATCATGTCGTCACCCTTCTCAAAACTCACTGCCATCGAGTCAGTTCTGACCCTCAGCAACCCTGTAGGGCATAGCAGAACTGCCCCATTTGGGTTTCTGAGACTTTTGGTTTTAATTGAGATATAGTTCACATAACATACACTTCGATGGTTCAGTCATATTTGGAAATAGTTGTATATACAGCACCACAATGAGTTTCAATGCATCCTAACCCCTCCTGTATTCATTATTTGTTCCCCAGTTCCCTTCACCCTCCCTGTCCCCCAATCCCTAATAAGTCATTGCCTCAGTTACTGTCTCTAGACACCAGTCCCCTGTGTGCTTCATAAACTGGGAATCATGAGGGGGGGAAAGAAAACAATATACACACACATACATACATATAAAATATATAAAAAACAAAGAAAAGACTGCCAGCATTATAGACTTTAAATCTGTATGGGAGCAGACAGTCTTTTTCACCCAAGGAGCAGCTGATGAGTTCCCAGTTCTAAGTTCCATTAGGCTACAGATTTGGGTCTGTATTTAGTAACTGCTGAGTCTCCAGCACATAAAATAATACCAGGCACTAAACATTATTTTTATTTAATGACCCTACCCAATATATTTCAGCTTTTATTTATTTACCGATCATAATCCGTAAAAATAAATTGCATTTCTTTTAACATGCGATGGTTAACTGCACTGAGAGGTGTGAATCCAGCCAAAAGCAGAGCCTTGACTTATCTGTGGAGCCCTTCACAGCTGTTCTGGGCCCGGTCCTGCACCTGGTCTCTGAGGAGGACGAAAGGGGGGTGAGCTTGGTCTCTGGCCTGACAAGAACTGTGCAGTAGGGTAGAGCAGAATGCCGCATTTGGGTGTCTGAGACTTTAAATCCACTTTAAAAAAAAATTGAGATATAATTCACATATCCTCAAGACAAAGACGGGACTTCCTACTCCAGTAAAGAGTTAAAATCTCAGAAACCCTGTACTATAGGGTCATGAGTTAGCATCGACTCCATGGCAGTGATATCCATATCTATGTATCTATCACCCACATTGAGCCCCTGTTGGTTTCCGAGACTGTAACTATTTATAGGAGCAGAAAGCCCAGTCTTTCTCCCTCAGAGCTTTTGATGGTTTTGAACTACCGACCATGCAAATTGCAGCCCAATGTGTACCCACTACACTACCTGGGCTATGTATGTAGGTAGTGTGTGTATGTATCTTTATTATTTAAACTTTTGGTTTCTTTTCTACATTTGCCTACATTTGTATCCCAGCTCCCTCTTTTACATAAATCTGAAAGGGTAGCAGTTTCACTAAGGTAACTGAGCTTCCAAGACCACGCTCTCCCATCACTATTTAAAATGGAGTCATAGCAACCTCCTTACAAGGTGTTTGTGATGCAGTGCACAGAGAAAGAAGGTGGACGGTGTATCACTCCTCTGGCTCCCATTTAAAAATATGGTGTTCTGTAGTGCATGCTACAACTGGGTTATTTTTACATTGATTAAAAATACATAATACCGTAACTCGTAAGTATAAACCTGGTGTGGTAATCTTATCCCCAAATATATTGGGAGAGATCCAGTTAAGCTGGAAGACTTTTGGGTTTGTCCTAGGCTCTGTCTGCCCATGCCGATCGACGTGGTCTATACCTGGGTGAATGGCACCGATCTGGAACTGCTAAAGGAACTAAAGCAAGTCAGAGAACAGATGGAGGAGGAGCAGAAAGCAATGAGGTATAACTTTTTTTTTTAAATGCACCTTACAAGTAGCAAAACCTTTGGTAAGGATCAAATCATTGCCAACATGCTGCACAAACAAACATTTGTCTCTCAAATTCATGCCATTGACATGAATGTGGGGTTTTAGGGATGGCATGCTCTCCGAGGAACCGAAGGTGAGGGAGCCCCCGAAGGAAGCCTTGCTCCTGAGGGAGCCTGAGTCCCAGGCCTGCTGATAGGGAAATACCTTTCTTTATAGCAAGGCAGATTGAGTCCTCAAAAATAATTTGAAAAAGCCACTGGAAAACTATTATCCCCCACCCCCCTTTAGTACTCTATGGAATTGAGGACTTTTTTTTTTTTTTAAGACATCAGGTTTTCATTCCATTCACTTTATCTGAGGAAAGTGGAGTGAGCTGCCAGGGAACCTTTGGAGCCGGGACCTTGGCTGGTCTAGCTTCCTCTTTGATTCCTCAGGTGTTTTCACCGAGAACGTCCATGTATTTGCCCCACTGTAAATGGAAGGCATGTTTCCTGTTGCAGGCCCCTAGCCACTTCATACTGCAGCTGCAGCACAAAGTCCCTTTTCCTCTGTGGAGAGAATCTACAACCTCCCAAATGCACCAAGTTGACTTGGATAGCTTTTCCTAGTATAATATTTTTTTTAAAAAAACCTTCACTGTTAAGCTTCTTTGCTTGAGACTATTTATACTATTTAAGTTGAACATGTAATTGTGAATTTTAAAATCATAAGCATTGTAGCACCTCCTACCAATAGGTTGATTCCAGCATAGTAACTAGTAAGTCCCACACGTATTTATGCTTCAGGATGGTACTTGCCTATGCATACGTAATGCTCTATTTCCTTGTCTTTCATTAGAGAAATCCTTGGGAAGAACACAACAGAACCCACTAAAAAAAGGTAAACATTTTGCTTCTCCTCACAGGAATAAATGGAAAGATCGAAGTGATAATCCTTTGTTTTTGTTGGGTGCCTAGGATTTTGCTTGTATTCTTATTACTTATGTTTGATCCTTCAGCTAGTGTAACCCCCAGTTAAGTGCAGGTGGTGGGGTGGTGATGGATATGAAGAAGGATCAGCAGTTAAAAGAAAACGCAGTGCTGTTGATGGAGGTCCATGATAGAATTTCGAAGACCCAATGAATAAGTTGTTCCCTGAACAATATAAATGGAAACTGTACACATGAACCTCCCAAGTTGGATCCACAAGAATCAAATTGACTTCATCTGTGCAGAGAGGTGATGGATAAATTCACTGTCATCAGTCAGAACAAGGCCAGGGTCCATTGCAAAACAGACCATTCATTCGGTACTTATATGCACATTCGAGCAGAATCTGAAGAAAAACTAAAACAAGTTCTTGAGAACCAAGTTATGACCTTGAGTGTATCCCATCTGAATTTAGACACCATCTCAACATTTGACACTTTAAACACTAAACACTAGTGACCGAAGACCAGATGAGTTGTGAGATGCCATCAAGGATATCATATATAAAGAAAACGAGGTCACTAAGAAGACAAGAAAGAAAAGACCAAACTGGATTTCAGAAGACTCTGAACTTTGCTCTTGAATGTAGTTACTCTAGAGACACAAAGCAGTGACACCTGCGTGTGGACATATATGTTGTTGTTAAGTGCCGTCGAGTCTGTTCCGACTCACAGCGACTCTATATAACAGAAGGAAACGTTGCCCAGTCCTGCACCGTCCTCTCAGTTGCTCTTATGTTGGAACCCATTGTTGCAGCCACTGTCAGTCCAGCCTGTTGAGGGCCTTCCGCTGCACCTCTGCGACCCAGCATGATGCTTTTCTCTAGGGAACTTGCCTCTCCTGATAACATGCCCAAAACAAGTTAGATGAAGTCTCGCCATCCTTGCCTCCAAAGAACATTCTAGCTGTGCACCCTCCAAGACAAAATTGTTTGTTCTTTTGGCAGTCCATGGCATTTTCAGTTTTCTTTACCAGCACCGTAATTCACATGTATGGATTCTTCTTCAGTCTTCCTTATTCACTGTCCAACATGCATGTGAGATGTCCAACATGCATGTTTAGAATTCTTTCTACATACATGGCTCCCACAGTTGTATAAGTGGGTAATCCAGTCTTGTTCAAGTCCACGGGTCCAGATGTAAGCTAGCGACATCTCCTGGCTCCTGTAACTGCAAGGGCTGAGGAACAAGAAGCAAGAAGATGAAGCAGAAAGATCCCAGACTGGTAGATGCAGAGCTGAATGAATCCAAGGTTGATGGCTTCTGAGATCGGCAGATAATATTACAGGAGGTAATATAACTGGATGCAAAATCCAGATCCTGCAAAAGTAAACTGTCTTCCACAGCAAAAGTGAGCAAGTTTCCATGGGTCAGATGTAAGCTGAAGGCTTCTGAATCTTGTAGCCGCAGGGACTGATGAAGAGGAAGTAGGTAGACCACAGGCTGGCAAGCTGATGGATGCAGAGCTGCATGAATCTGAGTTTAGCGGTCCACTGATGGCTCCTGGGATCAACAGTCGCTATTCAGGAAGTTGATGAACCAGATGCAAGCTCCAAGTCCCGCAGTAGTAGTCAGCTAAGCTTCTACACACTGTCAATTTATGCGAAATGTAGGCCACACCCTGAATGAAATCTCCCTCACGGTTGAGGCCAAATTAGGGAGGTCTGTGCTCCCCACAACTGTTTGACTGCTTCGCAGAAGATTCCATCATGGAGTTGACTGCACTATGTTAGGTCATATCATGGGAGAATCCTGCCTTATCAAAGTTGACATAAAACCTTACTATTATTACAAGTAACTAAAGGGAGTGGAAGAAATGGCAGTAAAAGAACTAAACCAGAGATTTTAAATGGTGACTTGAGAAGACAAAGTAAAATACTGTGATAACGTGTAGACACCTGGAATTAAAAAACAAAAGAGGAAGAATGGGTTTGGCACTTCTGAAGCTTAAAAATAAGCCTTGAGTTGTAGTAGTGAAGGATTCTGTGGGCAAGATAATGAAAAAGTAAGAAGCATCAAGGGAAGGTACAGAATTACTGTACCAAAAAATAATTTGATAATATTTAACCCTTTTAGGTAGTTGAGGAAGAATTGATGATTTAGGAGGAAAACATCCAAGTTGTGCATTAGCAGAAAACAGGGCTACAGGTTTTGATGGAATACCAATTGCAATGTTTCAGAAATCTCATGCAGCACTAGATACGCCCACTCATCTATGCCAACAAATTTGGAAGACAGTTACCTCACCAACCAACTAGATAAGATCCAAATATGTGGCCATTCCAAGGAAAGGTGACTCAACAGAATGTGGAAGTTATTGAACAGTATTGTTGCCACATGCAAATAGTTCTGCTGAAGATAGCTCAAGTACAGGCGCAAAAGTACATTGAAAGGCAGCTGCTAGAAATTCAAGCCAAATTCAGAAGAGGGCACAAGAAACATCACTGACATTAGATGGATCTTGGCTGAAAGCAGAGTATCAGAAGATGTTTATTTGTGTTTCATTGACTATTCAAAGACATTCACCTGTGTGGATCATATAAAATTTTACATGACATTGTGAAGAATGGGAATTCTAGACTACTTAATTGTGCTCTTATGACACCAAAAGGCAGTCATTGTAGAATAAAGGGATATGACATGTTTTAAAACCAGGAAAGGTATGCATCAGGATTGTATCCTCTCAATTAAATATTGTTGAGAGTATAATCTGAGAAACAACTATATTTCCATTTTGATTATTCTTCATATTTCATGTTTTTTTGGTTAATAGTTGTTGAAAATTTCATAAAGTGACTAATTTACTGAGTGTTGGACAGATCCATATTTTCATTGTAATATTTATATTTGGTTCTATGGCATTTCTTCTGCGTAAGTTGGTTTGTTTCCCTTTGGAATAGATGCTTGGAAGTTGGATTACTGAGTCAGCATGTGTGTATTTTCATGGGTTAGAATATATGATGGGTCTTTCCGAAGTTCATGGAAAATTCCATTATCTTTTATTTTTTCATGTTCCCTCATATATATTGCCACATTTCTTTTGCTGTGTGGATAAGGTGGGGTGGGGTGTGTGTGTGGGGAAATCACTCCCAGGAGAAGAATGGACTCAAGGCAGGCACATATGTAGCACATGCCAATTTGTAATGGTACCAGCAGTGTTCTAGAGGAATTGAGCTTACTAAGCAACAATAATGCTAGATAAAGTAGTGGGCAGCAAAAAAAAAAAAAAAAAGACCTTCACCAAGAAGGATTGACACAGTGGCTATAACAATGGGTGTAGACATAAGCAAAGTTGTGAGGATGGCACAGGACCAGGCAATATTTTGTTCAGTTGTACATAGGTTTGCTATGAGAGGGAACCCACTCATCGCACATAACAATGCGCTTGAACAATTTTATATGCTTAACTCTTGCAGCTTCCATTTTGTGAATTATCTACCCATTGTTAGAATCTCTGGCTATTTCTTATATTTACATAAAACTATCTCATATGAATTTATATCAGGACATTGACTCCTTTGCTTTTGTCTGTTTCAGTGTAGTTTCATATCCTGTGTATTTAGTTCTATTCTAGTTGAAATTGGTGAGTCATAGTTGGTAAGATTGCATTTTATTTACCAGAATTTTCCTTCTCTCTAATCCTGCTATGAGTAGGATTCCAAATGGGATCCACTCACAAATAACAGAGACTTCTGAGTAAATTTTGGTGGCAACCTTGTTTTATTAATAGAATAGGGAACGGTGATTGAAAGCTCTGGCTCTAGAGCTTTTCTTGTCTGCGCAGACAATCTGGAAGGCTCAGTAGCACCAACAAGCTTTCCTTTCTCTCTTGATTATACTTTGGAGAATGTGGCTGTTGCCTGTTGTTGTTTCTTCCCAGCGAGAAGCAGTTGGAATGTTTGCTGACTCACTGCGTTAAGGTGCCGATGCTGGTCCTGGACCCAGCGCTGCCAGCCAACATCACGCTGAAGGACCTGCCATCTCTCCATCCTTCTTTTCATCCTGCCAGTGACTTGTTCAATGTCGCAAAACCGAAAAACCCATCTGTGAATGTCTCAGTTGTCGTTTTTGACACCACCAAAGATGGTAAGATCTTTTCATTGTTAGCTTTGAAAGTGCATTCTTACTGGGTTCTTGAATTTTTTTTAAAAAATTGTGAATGAAACAGAAATGATTACTTTTTCCAAAAATGTCAGCGAAGTTGACACTAAAAATGTACAAAGAGAAGCAGAAGAGCTGCCACAAAATCTCCACCCTCGCCGCAGAAGAAGATGCACTGCACAGACCCCGAGCGTTCAAAACTACCTCCTTCTCTTGGCCCTGCGTTATTCTAGAGGCTCGCTTAAACTTCAGCAGCGTTGCTTTCTGCAGTTTAGATGTCATCCCGTAGATATTGATCCTGCCCTCACTCTCCCATTTTGTAATGTCATACCTCTTAGCGTAAATCTTTGGACCAGCATTTAACTCATTCTTGCTTCTGACCTCCATAACTAATAATAATTGACCTCATTTATTGCTTGCTTTGGTTTTTGCAAATGATTCCAAGATTGTTGCCTTTCTTTTACACTATGCTACATTTCCTCCTAGAGCCTTCTGTAATATTCTCCTTGCTCTGGCTGCCTGTAAAATTTTCTTCTACTCTGGCACCCATTTGTCAAGTAAATCTGAAATTTCTAATCCATTGACTCATGCTTTTTGGAGAGAATGCAGTAATCTGCATTTGCTTTTCACATCCCTCACAGTCTGAACCCCCCCTTTAATTTGTCCATTGGTGCATGCACCCCTACCCTCCCACCCATCATGTGATATAACTGTGGCTACCTTAAATATTGGGTCCTTGCCCTGGAGTGATTGAACTGAATAGCTTCTCCAAGTGGAATAGAATAGGAGAAAAACTGGTTTTACTAGTTAGGAGGCTAGCCAATGAAGCGTCCCACAGCAGCAAGGCTGTTTGTTTGGTGGGTGCTACAAATATCCCAATTTTCCAAGTGATTTATACTGGTTTCTTCAAGCAGTATTAACCAAATTACATAGCGGTGACCTATAGTTCTTCAACTACAGGACAGGTTACAAAAATCCATAAAGCACAAGTACATGCAACATAGGACATATATAAAAGAATGCTATAGGTCATTATCTTGGCATCTACTTTCCCACTGAGCACGCTTTCTCTATCAACCCTATAGTGTGACCAAGAAAGCTAGTGGGGTCAATTCAAGTCCAAGCAGTATTCAAATAGTAATTAACATTCCAAACCCTTGTGTGAACCCTAGGTAAGCAGCCAAAACGTACGATAATAAACTGGTAACAAAATTGATTATACCCAAACACAGTTGATTCAGTCAAAATGGCTTCAGTCCGATTCAGATGGTTTCTCACAGTTCACACCATCAAAGTTTTCTCCCGTAGATACGGCTGCACTGGAGTGAGAAAGGGCGACGGTGGCAGGAGGTGAGCTCAGAAGTAGGGGAGACTCGGTGGTGCGGGCACTGGTAGCTAGTCATGACAAGGACTGTGGCTTCAACCTGCAAGGATGCTCAGCAGTCATTGGAGGGTTTTGAGTAGAAGAATGATGTGATCGGATGTTTTGAAAGGATCATGTCGTCTGCTATGGTTGGGAATAATAGCCTCTAAGGCAGCGGTTCTCAACTTGGGGGTCAAACGACCCTTTCAGAGAGGTCGCCTGATTCATAACAGTAGCAAAATTACAGTTATGAAGTAGCAACGAAAATAATGTGATGGTTGGGGGTCACCACAACATCAGGTTGAGAACAGAACCACTGCTACAAGAGGTTAAGGTCCTAGTTTAGGCAAGAGGAGAGGCTGGCTTGAGTCAGAAAGGTTCATTAAACGAGATGAGACTCGTCAGGATATAGTGAAGTTGGCTTCCGAATAGGTGAGGTGATGCGAAATAGCCACCTTTCTTATTCAGTGGTGAACGTTGGTTTAAAAGCACAATCCGGCTATGGAGATACAAGGCGGCTTTAAAAAATTTGTGGGAAAATTATCTATCTTTTAATTCCATTGTTCCACAGAGTTTTTGAAATCCCCTCGTACAGTACAGCCGTATTGCATTTTAACTCACACGGAACTCCAAAAACCCAACCCTCAAACCATTGCTTTTGGGTAGATTCTGACTCATAGTCACCCTGGATAGGGTTTCTGAGGCTCTAACTGTTAATAGGTGCAACTGACCTCAACTTCCTCCTGTGGAGTGGCTGGTAGGTGTGAGCTGCTGACCTTGCAGTAGCAGTCCACCAGTCACCCGACATGCCACCACGGCATTGTCAACTAAAACACCTATCTTTTTAAAAATTAATTTATGTGTGCCTATGGCCAAACACCCTTAAATTTAAGCTTAGGTAGTTGGTGTGTGTGTGTGTGTGTGTGTGTGTGTGTGTGTGTGTGTGTGTGTCTTGTAGGAGATTTTATTTTTCTAGATTTGAGTCATTGCTCCAGAGTAAAATGTTTTGGGAATCGTAAATTTGTTAATAGTTGTACTTGCTTTTTTATCACCTCTGTATGAGTCCACAAATTTCACAGATTCCTTCTGTATCTCTTAAATCCTTAATAGGATAGTTCAAAAAGGACCAGACTACGACAAACTACTAAAATCTCTGTTATTTGTGACTTTATAGTTATATGGCCCTGGACACCATGGGTCAGGTTATAATTCACCTCAATGAACAGCCAGTCCTTTATCCATAAGGATGATAGATGTTGCTGGCTATCTTGCTGAGAGAGAGAGAGGTGTGTGTGTATGCGCGCGACTGAATTCTCTGACCCCGCCCCCACCCCCAGGCTGTTATTAGTTACTGGCCAGTCAACTCCAACACATAGTGGCCTTATGTTTCCTTCTGACAGAAGGAAACATTGCCCATCTTCATGACATGTGCTATGTTTGTGTCCATGGTTTTGGCCAAGATAACCATTTCACGGACGTCTTCTTTACCTTCACCAACCCTCCACTTTGCCAACACGATGCCCTTTTCTAACAATTGATCTTTCCTGATGATGTGTCCAAAGTCAGTGAGCCGAAGTCTCGCCATCCTTGCTTCTTTCTCCCCCTCTCTCCTGTATTCAGTATTACCTGATGAACCTTCAAGGAGACCATTGTCCTTGTGAATCCCAAAGAACCCCAGCTCTGTAGTGCCTCCTGCTATTAACCACCTGGTCCAGGTCCCCTTTGCCTAACTACCCTTCTCTTCTCCTGATCACCACTCTCAAATGTTTTACTCTTGCCAAACCATTCAATTTTCAACAAAAGTTCACTCAGAACATGGTCCGTGTACTCACAGTACATGGCCTTTTCTCCATTGAGATCCAGCTCCAGTACAGCTAGTTCTGCTGCGCACACAAATCTTTCCTTCCATATTTGTAAAGTGGAACATTTAATTGTACACGGGATTCATTGTTTCCCTCGATGTGTACATTCATTTGATCTCTGTCAACTACGTTAATTTAGTTTCTCAAAATGCCTTACAAAATGTCCTGGCAGCCATTGTATTTAAGTATCCATTAAACAAAATATGTTTGATCAGTCTGTTTTTTAATTTTTACATTGTCATTATTGTATTTTGTAGTTGAAGATGCCCAGGCTGATGTATTTAAAGGAAGTAGCACACAGACAGTGTGGAGGGGCTATTTGGTATGTTGTTTTAAATTTAATTGTATTTTTACTGTAGACTAGAGTAAAAGAATGAGTAAAAACTATAATAATGCTTGCCTCTGAGAGGCATTGCAATATTTACTTTTTCTCTAAAGCTACCTTACTAATATTACTGAGAGTTGATTTAAGTAATCTTGGCACTCTTATTTTGATACATGTATAATGAAGTACTTAATAGGTCTTTATACGTCTGTGTGTGTGTTTTCACCAGCCATATGACATGGAAAGTAAGTTGTGGTTGTTTTTCCCATTCATTTCAGACAACAGATAAAGAAGCCCCTGGATTAGTGTTAATGCAAGAATTGGTTTTCCTGAGTGGATTTCCACCGACATTCAAGGAAACAAATCAACTGAAAGCAAAATTGCCAGAAAACCTTTCATCTAAAATAAAACTGGTAAGAGCACAGTGAACACAGCAATCAACCTGATCTGTCTCATTTAATTTGCGACCCTTCTCCTGTGACCCATTTTGTTCTAAGTAAAGCCAACCATCTTAAGAACCAGTCTCGATTGTGCCCCAATCTTGGGTCAAAAGGTGACTGTCTATGAGGGTAAGTTAAAAGTATTGCTATGAAGTCACAGAAGCCTTTGTTAAACAAAAATAGCAAAGTGTGAAGCTGTTATTTTTCAACTTACCCCTCCATCCAGGTCTATGCCCTTCTGAAGGCAGCATTTTGTTGTCCATGACCTTTCCCCAAAGAACTCTGCGGGCTTCGGTGCACCTTTGAAGTGTTCTTTGAGTTTTGAGAAGCAGGCAGAGTCTGAAGGGGCAAGATAAGGGCTTTTGGGGAGAAAGGGTAAGATTTCCCATTGTTCAAAGGCTAGGCCTTGCTACCCTTGAATAGTGAGTAGATGTATTGTTGTGATGGAGAAAAGTTGCTCAGCACAGCCTTTTCCCCATCACAACTTTCCTCCTACCCTTTTCGTCACCAATGCCGTTGTCAGTGCTCTTTAACCTTTCTCCTAGCACACCCCATCCCATGTCCTTTGAGAAAATCTATCCAGACTGCCCCTTTGGAATCCCCAGATATGTGTGTGTGTGTGTGTGTGTGTGTGTGTGTCTGTCTGTCTGTCTGTCTGTCAGAGAGAGAGGAGGTAATGAGACTAAGACAAGTTGTATAAGTGATGTGGAGACCTGACCTCCCTTGCCTGCAAAAGGACCGTCCATGTCCACACCAGCCTGAGGCTGATTGCTGCAGGGCAGAGGTCCCCTGTGCCTCCATCCTCTATCCCTCATCCCTTTTCTACCCTGTTCTGACACCAACCGCACATCCTGTGGCACTCTACTTTTCTGCTGGGTTTGATGACCCAGTTCACTGACCACGCAAAACTTAGACAACACTCACAATTATGGGACTTTTATAAAAATCCTCGTTCATTTATAGCTAATGGAGATTATAATACATTTAGAATTTATACTTCTTAACTCCTGGGTTTCCATGTTAGGATTGACCTTGGACCGGGGACTGGCCTATGGCATGCTTCTCTGCTTTCCTTCCCTTTCTTGTTTTCTGAGCCATTTGCCTGATTGTAGGTAGAGTTGATAAGTAGGTTTTATGTCAACAGGGGTGAGCCAGGATTCTCCCATTTTATGGCCTAACATGGAGTGGTCAAAGTCCATGGTGAGTTCTTTTGTGAAGCAGCCAAGGATGATCACAGCCTTGAGACAACTGAGGAAGGCTTCATTTGGGGCAGAGGCAGCTCTTAGGATAGATTGGCAATACGTGGAAGCCAGCTCATTTTGCTGGCTCTGGATCTTGCATCCGGTTTGTATACCTCCTATTCTGTCACCTGCCGATCTCAGAAGCCGTGGACCTTGGATTCATTCAGCTCTGTGTCTCCTGGCCTGTAGCCGTCCTGCTTCCTTTAGCCCTTGCAGCTGCAGGACTCGGGACTGGCCTCTAATGTACATCTGACCCACGGGCGTGAACCAGACTGGATTTACCCACTTATACAACCGTGTGAGCAGTGTCTTGATATGAATCTCTTCCTGTGTACATTCACATACAAGTGTCCCTGGTTTTGTGTCTCTGGAGAGCTCAGCCTAACTCAGTTTACTTTCTGCTTGACATCATGTCAAGATGCCTGCTCTTCTGTTGGAAATATCTGAGTGTAAAACATAAATATCTCTTTTCTTAGAGGGCATTACATTAGGCATATACCAGTTAAGCTCCACTTTCTTGATTCTACAAAGAAATCTTTTTTTAAAATTATTTTATTGGGGGCTCATACAGCTCTTATCACAATCCATACATATATCCATTGTGTCAAGCACATTTGTACATTTGTTGCCATGATCATTTTCAAAACATTTTCTTTCTACTTGAGCCCTTGATGTCAGGTCCTCATTTCCCCATCCTCCCTCACGAACTCTTAATAATTTTTTTTTTTTTAATTTTATTTATTTATTTTTTAATTTATTTGTATTTTTTTTAACATTCTATTAGGGGCTCATACAACTGTTATCCCAATCCATACACACATCAATTGTGTAAAGCGCATTTGTACATCGTTTCTCAAAACATTTTCTCTCCGTTGAAACCCCCGACATTAGGTCCTCATTTTTCCCCTCCCTCCCCGCTCCCCCCTCCCGCATGAGCCCTTGATAGTTTATAAATGGGTATTTTGTCATATCTTGCCCTGTCCGACGTCTCCCTTCATCCACTTTTTGGTTGTCTGTCCCCCAGGGAGGAGGTCACACACAGTTCCATGTAATCGGTTCCCTCTTTCCTACTCATTCTCCCTTTACCCTCTCTGTTTTGCCACTCATACCACTGGTCCTATAGGGCTCATCCGTCCTGGATTCCCTGTATTTTCAGTTCCTATCTGTACCAGTGTACCTCCTCTGGTCTAGCCAGTCTTGCAAGATAGAATTCGAGTCATGGTAGTGGGAGCGGGGAGGAAACCTTTAGGAACTAGAGGAAGGTTGTATTTCTCATCATTGTTACATCGCACCCTGACTGGCTCATCTCCTCCCCGAGACCCCTCTGCAAGGGGATCTCCAGTGGCCTACTAATGGGCTTTGGATCTCCACTCCGCACTGCCCCCATCATTCACTATGGTAAGATTTTTTGTTCTGATGATGCCTTACACCTGATCCCTTCGACACCTCGTGGTTGCATAGGCTGGTGTGCTTCTTCCGTGTGGGCTTTGTTGCTTCTGAGCTAGATGGCCGCTTGATTACCTTCAAGCCTTTAAGTCCCCAGACACTATACTTTTTGATAGCCGGGCACCATCAGCTTTCTTCACCACATTTGCTTATGCACCCATTTGTCTTCAGGTGATCCGTTCGACACCCCGTGATCACACAGGTTGATATGTTGTTCCATGTGGGCTTTGTTGCTTCTGAGCTAGATGGCCGCTTGTTTACCTTCAAGCTTTTAAGACCCCAGACGCTATATCTTTTGATAGCCGGGCACCATCAGCTTTCTTCACCACATTTGAAACTCTTGATAATTTATGTTATTATTTTTTCATGACTTACACTGACTGATGTTTCCCATCAGCCACTTAAGAAATGTTCATTTAGTGCTGCCATCAGACTTAGCTTACTTGCGGCCTGGCAGTGTGTTTCTGTTTAAGCCCTCTTGCTCCTGCTTTCTGGTATTTAGCTGTGTGGAGTGGGGAAGGGTGGCGAGGAGCAGTGACTGAGATGTTCATACTAAATCCCTGCTTTGACCACACACACTTCTTTACCCTTGCTAAGCCCCTGCTTCCCTCCGACTTGATTGTTTTCCCTCCATAATCTGAAGATCGATCCATTTTTATAATTGAGTGGAGGTATGAATTATGTTTTGTTGTGTGTGTTTGTTTTTCTTTTCTGTATGTTCTCCTACTACTCTGGTGGTGGTACCTGGAAGTTGGTAATGCTAGGCTAGGGTAGGGTTGAGTGCTTTTTTAGTCTACAGTTATTTAAAAATAGACATTTTCCCATTTCTTTCCCCTGAGTTATTTTCAGTCCTGGCAAAGTTATAGATTAACATTCATCTCAGCCAATGTCAGTGGGGCTTCTTGGACTTCTTGATGGGTCCAGAATTATGGACATATGTGTATCTGCATTTTTGACTGTCAGTTCAAATGATAGTCTTTATTTGTATCATTCCACTCATAACAATTTTCAGGAAAGAAGGCTCATCCCCCACTCAGGTTTGAATATCCCAGATCACTTTGCCAGCTGACTTGCATGCCAAAGCCACACAGTGTTTGATCGGTCAGCAGGCTGCTTCTTGATGGCATGGAGAAGACCCTGCAGCAGAGGTTGGGTGGGGTTTCCTTGAATTGGACTGGGAGCACCAGTCGACTCTATGTTCATACGTTGTCCGAATTTTATCCGGTCCCCTGGAGCTTTGTTTGTTCACAGCCTTGTCCCTATGGAGGCCAGCACCTCCTAAGAGGGTCAGACCAATCATCCTCAGCCCCCGTTGCCATTTGTTTTCATAACTTCATCACCTGTGATAGACATTTTGGCCCTTGGACTTTGGGTTTTTGGAGGCCAGGGAGAGAATAGAAAATGAGAAAGAGGAAGAACAGAAGAGCGTATTCTCATTAAAGCCTACTCTGCAGGTGTTTTTCTCTTCTTAAATTCTACCTCCTGGCTTTATCCTGGGTATTCGGAGCTGAAGTTCCCTATGATCGACTTCCCAGTCAATTTAGTTAGTGAGCGCTAATTAGATGCCTGAATGCCAAGGGCTGAGATAAGTACAGTTGAATGATTAAAAGCACTTGAAATAACACAACAACCCCCACCCCACCCTGTGTGAACGATGCCAAATGGGAGTTTGTACTGAGTGCTCCTTAGATAAGTTGGGAGCCAGGGAAGGAAGGCTTTGTAAAACAGAGAGTATTTTCCCTGGGCCTTGAATAGAGCAGCCAGAAGAAATGAGAATGTGAAAGAGCATAGAAAGCAGAGTAAAGGGCTAGACTGTCGCTTGCAAGGAATGGCTTGTCCTGAGAACCAAGGACAAATGTCCCCGCAGACTGGGATTTTGCAGGTGACAAGCTTGGAAAAGAACATCGATCAGAGTGTTTTGTGTTGAAGAGCCTGGTCTGAACTTCGTGGGTTTAGCAGGAGGAAAACATAATCCGATCTATTTTAAAGCAGCACTGTAGGAGAAAGTGTAGCAGCTAGACCTAGGTTAGACAGCGGTAGACTGGAGGCAGAAAACCAGTTCAGCCACTGTTACCATAGCCCAGCAAGACATCCCGTTTTCAAGGAGTACCTTGGTCATGTAGTGCAAGTAATGGCAATGGATCCAGTCCATAGTTGGGGGTGGCCGGGAGAGAAAAGGGAGAGTGGGTGGGTGAGTAGCTAGAAATGATGGCACTCATCACACTCCCAGCATCATGGCAGAAGGGAGGAAGCCTAGGGCTCAGTGGGACTGTGTTGCGCTGGAAG